CAACATTCAGAAGGAAGTTCTATTTCTGAGATCAATCCCAAAATTCCTCTTGAAGATATTGAGTGTCAAATATTATTATATTTTAAGTCAGGAATGGGGTCCCATGTTCAGACACATTTCCCCCATTTTACCTCTTCCTAATAGTTCTTCACAGAAGTAGCACTTAATCATCACAACTACTGCAAATACTACCAAATGATTTCTTGTTCCTATGCCCACATATTTCAATCTAATAGGTAAAGTGTTGCTGGTTGGGGAATTTTGAAAGTTGAAGTCCACACAATTGAACATTGCTGAGAAACGCTGTAATAGGTCCTTGTGTAACCATTCTCAATGACCATCTCACCCACAGTGTTTAATTCTGGAAGAAGACTTCAGAAGTTAGGCCACTTCTACTTCTGTGGTGCAAGATCATGGTTAAATGAGACCTTCTTTGTTAGCAACTATACATTGTGATTTTTGTCGAATCAAAGATGATTTTGATCTTGTATTATTTAATACTTTGCTTTTTTCCTCTGTTCAGCAAGCTTGATTATACCAAGCATGGAAGTTTTGCAAAACTTCTGCCAAATAGAAGTAGTCCTTAATTTATAGCCATTAATGTAATGACAGGTCAAAGTTATGATGGCCTTGGAAAACTTATGACTAGTCCTTGAAGTTATGCCTATCACACCACCAGTCATGTGATCACAATTTGAGTGCTTAGCAATCTGCTCACATTTATGATGGTTGCAATGTCTTGCAGTCACATAATCATGATTTATAACCTTCTCAACTGGCTTCCAACAATCCAAGTCAATTGGGGAAGCCAGTTGATTCTCTTTGCAACTGCAGTAAAAATGGTCATCAAAGCAGGTCCAGTCATGTGATGACCATTTCATTTAGTGACCAAAATTCCAGTCCATAAATTCAGGACTACCTGTCCCCAATCAATATTGATCTCCCAAAATCCAAAGAGTCCAGCTAAATAGAAGAAAATGGTGTTTAACTTACAATGTTCCCATTTGGTTGCTATTAAAGCAAGATTCTATTCCAGGAATCATGGAAGAATTTCTTGTACAAGTAGCATTTGCTCACAAAAGGACAGGCAAGCTGCTAGTGAAAATTTTCTCTCAGTTAAAAGTTGAGTATTATTATGAGCAGAATGTACCTTATGATTCTCGACTCCTGATGAATGTATCTTTTCTTTCATGTACACTGAGAGTATTTACACCAAGACAAATTCCTTGTGTGTCCAATCACACTTGGCCAATAAAGTATTCTATTCTATTCCATTCTGTTCTGTTCTGTTCTGATCTGATCTGTTCTGTTCTGTTCTATTCTATTCTGTTGCTTGGCTGCAGACAAGAGAGTGATGTTTACTATTTACACTTCATAATTTTGCTATAGTTCAAACACACTTTTGAGAACAGCCAGTAATATTTTAAACAAGATCTCCTTCACCATTCCATTTCTTATTAATAGCTTTTTCAAGTATTCTTGTAGTCACAGAACACAATGTACTGAATTTCATGAAAAATGTGATATTAGTGTTGTAATTTTACACTCTGGAGCTACTGAATGCGTATATCAAAGACATAATGAAGTATAAAGAGTTGCAATAATACATACAGTTATGGTTATCACTTCTTGGTTTGTTGCTAAGAATAATGCCATGTGTAGTTTTTGAATTTGAATTTCAAGCTTTCATTATAGTTTTGCTCAGTGGTAGCTGGCATTCACTGGATCAGTTGAAAAAGACAGCTTGGGAGACCACAAAGTAAGGCATACAAATTCAAAACAAGAAATGGTTGGGTTCGGACAATTCTCTTAACTAAGTCAGTGTAAGACCTAGCAGATGTACTTATACAATGTACTAAGTTGGGTTAGTATTAATGTTGGTTTGGCTTTTTATAGCTCTAATATACTGTGAGAACCCAAACTCTTCAATCGAAGAGTGTGGATTCTCACAGCATACTAAGCTGTATAAAATCAAACCAACATTAACATTAACCCAACTTAGTACGTTATATGAGTACATCTTCTAGGTCCTCTTCTTCTTCTTCTTCTTCTTCCTCCTCCTCCTCCTCCTCCTCTTCTTTTCTCCTCCTCTTCCTTCTTCTCCTCCTTCTCCTCTTTCTCCTCCCTTCTTCTTCCTCCTCCTCCTCTTCTTCTTCATCTTCTTCATCTTTTTCATCATGACTTGGAAGGGACCTCAAGTCCAACCCCCTGCTCGAATAGGAGACCCAATACCATTTCAGACAAATCTCTTCTTAAAAGCCTCCAGCGATGGAGCACCCACAACTTCTGAAGCTGTTCCACTGATTATTTTAATTTTTCCTTAGTTGTAGGTTGTTTGGTTAGTTTCCATCCATTGCTTCTTGTCTTGCCTTTCCCTTCCCCCTTCCTTTGCATCCCTCAAATATCTTCCAAGAATTAAAACTGTGAATACACAATGTTGATGGCTGATAGCATCTGTGAGTAATCCCTGTACTTTTGTCAAGTACAATGACTAAACTGAATAATGTAAGCCTCAATGACTATATAGAAGATAATAATTGTACCAGTTCCACACCCTTTGAAGAATATGTGCTTTATTATGAAAATATATTTGATCTTCACAAGGCGGTAAATTATAGTATTTATGGAATCTTAATGATCTAAGCGCAGTTGGAGCCTGAAGGTCAAGACTGCAAACAGCATCCTAAATTTTTGTTTACCAATGAAGCTTTGTATTTATTACAGCACTATTTTTGCTGTTATAGTTAAAGGTCTGCCAGCATTTCCATTATAAACCACTATTTCAGAGGTTTATAACTCAGTCATAAATCTCTGCTCCAGAATGAAACACAGTGCAAAACAAGGACTCCAGTGTGGGAGTATTTTTTTCTCCCCTTCTATTTCTTTCTCACTTTCTATATGGAAATTCATTTTTTTAAAAATGTAGAAGCCAGAGGTGGTATTCAGCAGGTTCAGATCAGTTCTAGAGAACCAGTAGCAGAAATTTTGAGTAGTTTTGAGAACTAGCAAATACCACCTCTGACTGGCCCTGCTCCCATCTATTCTCTGCCTCCCAAGTCCCAGCTGATCAGCTGGGTCTTCTTTTGTTGCCCTGCACAGCAGAATGGAGCTGGAAAGCAAGTTAGTGGGGTGGGGAATGAGATTTTGCAGTAAGCTTCCCCAGGAGTGCGGAGGGAATGGGGATTTTGCAGTATCCTTCCCCTGGAATGGGATGGAAATGGAGATTTTACAGTATCCCTCCCCTGCCACGCCCACCAAGCCATGCCCACCAAGTCACGCCATGCCACACTCACCAAGCCATGCCCACAGAACCAATAGTAAAAATGTTTGAATCCCACCACTGGTAGAAGCCATCTAAAATATTGAAGATGAACAATCAACTCTCAGTGGATTCAATGGAATGTATATTTTTCAGAAATAAGAATCGGGGCTGGTTCAATATGCTTCCACCTTAAGAAGAGAAACCAAATGGAGTCTATTGTTTAATGCATTGTTTCAACTTTTATGAATATCCACACATGTCAGGATATTATAGAATTTTTCTCTCCAGAGTTTTTAACAGAAGATGCCAGATGCTTTTTGCTGTGGATATGGGACTTCTAAAGCTCTAAGATACTGAGTCTTAGAATAAGCCATGAATAAGCCATTTCTTTATTTTTGATAACCTGTTTACAAGAAGCTTGCCAGATTGATTGCATCCCCATATAAACTGGCAGATAAGGTCTTCACAAATCCAGCCTATGTCATTTCCTCCCTAATAGAAGCTTTAGGTGCTACATTATTTTTTTACTCTGTCTTTTAGTTGGTGATTCCACCACAGTTGAACTTATGAATGCTGGCTGAAAATGTTAGGTGATTGAAGGCTAAATGGTGTAGATGACTTTGCTGTAGTAAAGAAATTGGCCATCTATGGGCTCTAATACAAATAAATATATTTGGACATTGCAGATACACCATTCTGGAAAAGATGCAGCTGCTTTAAAAGGTTGAGGACATATACCACATAAACAGCTCTGGGGTCTCCTTTTCCCTCTTTAAATATAGTGCATTACCATCATCTTTCATGATGCTTCCAAGACCTCCCTATCATCTGAGCTGCCATTCTTAGAATATAATAATAATAAGAGGAAACAATGATAGTAAAAGTGAAAATAACTAAAAACAAAATAATAAATTGGATACACACTGGATTTCATGGAACATCTACAAAAATTGCAACGTCCTAGAAATGAACAATAGGCAGGAATGTTTGGTTGAAAAAGTAGTTGCAAATGGGTTAAAATAATATGGATTTCTGAATGCAAACTGATAAAAGCTTGGCTCATACATCAAATATAACTGTGATTAAAAAGAAGAAAATGTGGATAAATAGATGTGGCAATAAAAGACAAGAAATTGAAGATCACAAAGTTTCAAGATCTGAAAATTGAAACCAAAATATTATGGCATAAACCGGCTGTGGTGTCCCCAGCAGTTATCAACACACTGGATGCCATACCAGAAAAGCTTGGACAGTCCTTAGAAAATCTGCACTTTGACAAAATCTCCATCTGTCAATTGCAAAAGTCTACATTGGTTAGATTTGCACATATAGTCCACTGATACATTACAATGTCCTAGTTTTGGGGAAGAACTTGATGCTTATGAAGGGCAACACCAGCTAAAGAACTGATAGCTGTGATTTCACATTGTAGTGTCTATAATAATAATGTTTAACAACTATAACCTAATAGACAGCTTGCTTTTAAAAAGTGTGTCCCCTACAAAAAAGACCAAAATAATCTTCCACTTGTTTTTTTTTGGTAGCAATACATCTCAATAACGATGATGTTCTACTGAACTGTTACAAATTTACATGCTGGATTTCTTTGTTATGCATTTCCTTCAGTGGTATTTTACTATATGTACAATAATATAACAAGATGCATAGCAAGGCAGCTACAGAAGACAAGTAAAATGACTATACTAGTTGACATAAGGGTGTGAAGTTCTGCTTTTACCTGTAAAAACCTGGTGGAACACCTGAAACTAAGAAGTTTTTCTCGAGACTCTGCAATATGTCATTCAACATCCTGATACGGTCAGGAGCTCTTTCTTTTGGGTCATTGGCTGGCCGCATCTCATCTGATTGAAACAATTCTGCACTCTCCCGTAAAGCATAGGCCACCTTCAGCAAATTGCCAACATTATGAGGGTCGTCTGTTAAGAAAGGAATATAATACAAAAATATTTAGCTTTATTGAAATGCTGGGTTACTGATTCATTTTATTATGATACACAACTCAGGAGTTTTACACAACTCAACAGGGATTGACTGCTAGTCTGGGATGTTGTCTACATTTCCAGTGGTATACAAGAAGTAGTCCAGTTGTACACAGTTGCCATCTGTAGCATATACTGCTTAAAACATAAAGTCTGTCTGGGATACTGATTTCAAATTAGTCTAAGCCTAGTATCGAGGCCAGTGTTTCTTGCCCAGATGTAGTATTCAGCAGGTTCTGACCAGTTCTGGAGAACCGGTAGCAGAAATTTTGAGTAGTTCAGAGAACCAGCAAATACAACCTCTTACTGGAGATTTTACAGTATCCTTCCCCTGCCACGCCCACCAAGCCATGCCCACAGAACCGGTAGTAAAAAAAATTGAATCCCACTACTGTAGTCTTGGTAGGTGGAAGATGTGAGGACTTCAACACCCAGAATTCCACAACCAGAATGCTGATCTAGAAGATTCTTTAGAAGATTCCCAACTGAGTATTAAAGGGAGGTGCCATTCTCTCTCTTGACTGCAACATGGGCCATGGTTCCAATAGCTATAGCTGAGTTTACCTGAAAGTCTCTTTTAAACTATGTCATAATAATCTGCTTGGAAAAAGAACAACACATTGAAATGTGTTGCTTTAAAATTATTTCTTTTGCTGAATGCAGGAATTTAATAATTGATTTTTTATTTTTATTTTTTAAATTAAGAGTCGTACTAAAATATACAAGCCAAACCATTGGCAGATAAATAAGTTTTGATCTGTAGATTTCTGGAAAGCATAGGGCAGCTTAAATATATGTCAACTAGAAACATGCAGTGTAGGTTTATCTATTGAGTGTAAGTTTCTCTCTCTCTCTCTCTCTCTCTCTCTCTCTCTCTCTCTCTCTCT